AAATAAGTCGACTTTTATATCAGGTCGACTTTTTTTTAGAGTCGGTCGACTAAGTCGAGTCGTTAGCATCCCTAGTTACATGTAATACGTACCAGTCATGTAATCGGTAATCGGGTACCCTTGTACGTGTGCATGTACATGTATCAAGAAAATGGTGCTTGACAATTTGCATTCTTGATCGCCGGCAAAACAAGTGAATGAAATTGTGAAGATACGAGGAGATAATGCTCAACTTTAGCTTGGTCCACTAATAAAAATGTCGGGCAGTTAATTTTATATATAACCTTGTTCTCCACTCTAACCCTAACCCTAATCCCAATCTTAAAATCAAATTTAGTGTTTCCAGATTGGAACGCCAATTTTTTTCTTATTTGCAAAACTTTATGACAATATAGCGTAATATAAATAGTATATGCAAATTCATGCTTTTATGTATTGGAATTTTGAATTGTCATTTTTTAACATTTCGGGATTTTGAACCATTGGGATGTTAGTGTTCGGGCTGTTGAGTATTCGGGATGTAGGCTTTTCGGGATGTAGGCTGTTCGGGATGTTATCTTTTCGGGCTGTTGGATGTTCGGGAAGTTAGCTTTTCAGGGAAGTTGAGTTTACGGGATAGTAGCTTTTCGGGATGTTGGATTTTCGGGATATTGGTGTTTTGGGATGTCGGGATTATGATCCTCGGAGTGTAGACGGCACCCACTGACGATACTAATAATTCGATATATGTGCTTTTTGAATTTTTTCCGATTGCTTGCTATTACAGTAGCTCACAAAAGAAACGGATCACTAAAAAATCTAGCGAGATCCGAATATCTCGCCATTGAAGAATTATCTACAACCAGAAACAAGCAGTATTCATTCAAATGGTGGTGGTGATAATCAAATTTAAGCGATCCATCAAATATGACCGAATCGGGAAATAATACATCAAGGTAAATTTCTTGAGGAAAATTTGGTAGCTGTTAATAATTCTCATATTACATAATGCTAACAAAAACTACCATTTTGTATGTCCGCCCTTGCTAATATTACCTTTTTGACATCAAATCGATTTCGATACTATTCCACGCAATTTGAAGCTTTTCCCACAAATCATTACTATTTGAAAGTAGGCCAGGAAGTTTCCTCAAGCGCCGGTCAACTTCATTCCATAAGTTCTCGATTGGACTTAGGTGGGGGACTGGGAGGGCCAATCAAATAAATCGATATCGTTTTCGAGGAACCAACAATGTGCTTTTCCCGAAGTATGTTCAGGTCATTATCTTGCTAGAAAAAAGATTTCTTCTTTTCTAGCATCTTTCAGAGTGTTCCTAATAAATTTTTGTTTAATATATCGACGTAGACGTCTGCATTTTACCTTTTCGTCAATTTTTTATAGTTGGCCAACCCATCAGCATCCATACATCCCCAAACCATTATTGAACCACCGTCAAATTTTAGGTGGTGTAATATTTAGCAACTCACCAGGCTTCACCCAGCAATACTTACGCTCGTCTGACCCAAACAACTGAAATTACTTTTGTCGGATCATAATACTAGCTGCTGCCAATCGTCAACTGTCATATTTCGATGTTTTTTACCCAAGAAAGTCGGTTTTTTACGGCTGGTGCATCTTTTCGAGCAATGATTTCTTGCGTTATATTTGAAGGATAAAGCATTTTTTCTGAAATGTACGCTGTATGCTTTCTACTGAAATATCGATCCGAAAGTCGTTTCTGAGTTTATATTGAACTTCTATGGCAGTGGCGCATTTTTCATCAACAATCGGATATAATATCGTTCGTAGCACTCCGAAAGAATTGTTGGGTGGACTTGTTCTTGAAATCTCCTGTTTCTTCTTTATTCGTAGGAAAGAAGGCGTAGTCACTTGTTCCGACATGGCAATTTCTCGAATCGAATAATCTTCTTCACGGAGAGTATGCGAGCGTGTTTTGCTAATGAAATTCGAGGCGTTTTTGGTTAGTTATTACTTAGAATGACGAAAATGTGTTTTTGAACTGTATGAAAAAAAGCGCTTTTATACTTATCTTTGTGGGCTTTCATTTCTTGTTCGAATCATTCACATTAAACGGACCGCTAAAAAATCAATATCTCATCGGTTAGAAAATAGATATTTTTAATAATCAATACCGAAAATATTGATTCATTCGTCAAAATTTCCTCCATCGTAAGAAATTCGAACTTCGCTGTTTTTCATTCAGTGATTTATTTTTTTTGTGAGCTACTGTGTATTCGGATCCAATTATTATTTTTAAATCAAAAACTCTAGTTCAGGATAATTATTTTTTCGAGTGCGTATTCTGTCATGTACGCGAACAGATCATGTTAACAAATGGATAAGTCTTATATCATATTCAATTGATCTTTGAAAGCTTAAAAAAAAACTTAAAAAGAAATACATTCGCTCCTATTGATCCACTAAGGCTTTTGGGAATATCCTCTCATTCCTCCATCACAAATTACTGTTCTCCAATTCCGCCAATTATTATCCAACACCCTTTTAATCTCCGAAGATGTTTCCTTAAGGTATCAACATAAAAGAACATTTGAAAGCAAATAAAGACTCATTTTACCTTTACGCAAAATCAGTCCCAAGTAAAAATCTTTCTCCTTTTGGAATACAACGAACTGTTCATGGATCCTTAAAAGCTGTCTCGTCAGAAAAATTGTTTATTTCCATTGTTATTAAGATTACATGTATTTCGTGCCCATTCCATTGGTGTCACTATTGGCCAGTTTTTCTTTTAGCTAAGATTGGTCAAATGCCTCTTAAGATACTTGTAAACCATTGTTAAATACATGTACAGTAATTTCATTGCTAATGTTCGTAATCTGTTTGGATGACCATTCCATTGCGTTTTTATAGTTAGCGTTAGCGTTAGCGTTAGTATTTCCATGTTTAACTTTGAAGACTGTTGATCTCATAGCGATAATGTTTGTTCATGTATTTCACTTCGTACACAAACATTTTGGCGATTGTTCAATAAATTTCATACTTTAAAAGTTAGTTACAGAATTTAATCCACAAATGATATCGATATCGATATCGATACGTATGTACAGTGGACGTCTAATCATCAGTCGCACGATTCTCAAATGCCAAGTTCATTATTATCACTATTAGACGTGTTAATTTTGACAAGTTTTTATTTGTTATTTCTTTAATCGCGTAAATTTCATGAAAACCGTGGTGCGTTCTTTTCGATGTTTTTCAATGAGAAATTTAATAACCATTTTATTTAATAAGACATTAATAATTCAATTAAAAACTTGATAAACATATTTTCACCACCTCGTGCGTATAACCTCCCTCTGCCTTAATTAAATTAACACAACAATCTATATCGATTTCATCCCAAACCTGTTCAACTTTTTCCATAGGTCATTCTGATTCGAAATTTCACCTGGGAGGCAATGGAGACGACGATCAACTTCACTCCACAAATGCTCAATGGGATTGAAATCAGGTGATTGTGGCAGCCAGCTTAAAACAGCCACATTATTATTTACAAACCATTCCGATGTTTTAATCGCGACATGTTATCTTGCTGAAACGCAACCTCATTTAGGTCCAAATTATACAATTCTAGAGAGAAAGAGTTCATTTGATAGGATTTCTCAATATAATGCGCCATCCATTCTTCCGTCGATTTTACGAAGGTAACCAGTACTGTTAATTGTGAAGCACCCCGTGCCATTATATGCGAGCTATTTAGTGGTTCGTTTGGCCTTTTCTAACAGAACTGACGTCCATCAGAACCGAATATCTGAAATTTCGACTCATCAGACCACACTACTTTACACCAATTCCAGTCTTTATATTTATTTGCGATGTGTTTTTGATAAGAATGGCTTTTTTTACGCGCGCCATCTAAACATTTCTTTTTAATGCCCTACTTACAGTACTAATCCCCATTTCGATTTTATTATTTGTTTTCGGAGAAGCATTAGAACATTCGTCTGTCATTATTTGCCGGACAAGCATTTGCTCATCACATATATTGAATTTTCGCGGTGGCCTGACTGAGGTTTATTTTTAACGCTGTCAGTTTCTTCATGTTTTTTAATCATAGGATAGTTGAGTGGTGAACATTATAACGTTTTCTAATTTTTTCGGAATTATTATTCCAGAGAATTTTCTGAGTTTTTTAAATAATAATAGTACAATTAACTCTCTTTATAGTCATATTGTTAGGTCCAATAGTAATGTGCTTCTTATAGCAGGATTTTATAACAAATGTGCTTATAGTAAAATGCTTTTATTATAACTAGTTCTTGATAAAAGTGTAACGACGGGCAACATAACGAGCACTATATCCTTGAAGCAGCATAACTGCCTCAGCACGTTGTTCTAATGTGGGCCGCGTCATATATTCTTAATAACTTTGCAAAGTAAGGGACGGGGGATTTTTTCATTATAATGTTTTTTTTTATTTTTACTCGCACCAGTGTGTTAGGTATACATGTACATGTTACATGTATTACTGATTGTGTTTGATTTCATGTGATTTAAAATCACGGGATTAATTTTCGACAATATAAGTGGTGCGTATTTTTTGACGTTCGTTGTACTCGAGATAAAACACGGAGTACTGCTAGAAACTCGGAGCTTCTATTAACGTTAACGTTAAAAAGAAGCTGACCATGTACGTTATCATCAAAGCTTACAAGTTTTCTATCATACGCACACACATAATATTAACGTCAAAGTTAAACCAGTGTGGCATTTGGCTATTTGGCCGGCAAAAAATCCTTTGGCCGCAGCCGACTTCGTTTCTCAAACAATATTTATATAAAAATGAATTTTAACTTTTAATTAAATGAATAATTTATGTTATTAGGAAAGAAGAATATAAGGAATATTAAAAGAATGACACTACCCGGATGTTCGACAACGTGATACCGTTAACAATATTTACAAATTTTTTTTGCGGTAAATAAAAGGTATTTAAAGAACTTTGTGCTTTAAAAATCTCTGTATAAATAATATATTTATATTAAATGGCTTTTTCATTAACAGTGTTTAAACTATTCGGAAAGTTAAGCCAGTCCGCGTTATTCCAAAAAGTAACCGAACCTTCAGAGGTTTGAAAAGCAAGATTATGATCCAATGTTAAACTAAGGTCTTCGAAAGAGTTCGTTTCGAAATGCGGAAATTTCTCTATCTGTAAGAGGTTGAAATCCGGCGACTGGCAACTTTTTGGCTCTGCAAA